GTAATACTACTCAGGGGTGACAAGGAATGAACAACTGAAACCACAGCATACAGAGATTTTGGACAAATCTCGGTTTGTATGCTGAGTGAATGAAGCTGGGAGAAAGATATTATAAACTCCAGGATTCTGTTTTTACAAAAGTTTAGAATATAGAAGTTAATCTAACAGTAAATGAAAGCCAATCAGTGGATGCCTGGGGATGTGGATGGAAGAGAGATGGATTACAAAGACATGGGAGGAAATTTTAGGGAGGTGAAGGTGTTTGTCATTCTGTGGATGGTTTCACAATTATGTCAAGTGAGCAGACTATACACCTTCAATAAGGGCAATTTATTACACTTTCTTTACATCTCAATGAAGTTGGAAGCGAAGAAACCAAAGGTGAGAGGCAGCACAACACTGTGGTTAATGGCGAGGATTCTGTAGCCAAACTGGCTGGGTTCAAACTCCAGCTTGCATACTTCCTACTGCTGACCGGGGTGAGTCGTTCAATATTACCATCCCTCACAGTTCCCTCATCTATGAAATAGAAGCAAACAGTACTCATCTCAAAACACCATTCTAAAGATGAGTAAGTGAATACAGGTGAAGTATACACAAAGCTCTACCAGGACGCAGTAATAACCATGTGAACATGGCTGTTACTACTAGTATTAAAAGACTATCTTTTTTAAAGATTTTATTTACTTATTTGACAGAGAGAGTTGAGAGAGAGAGAAGTAGGGGGAGCAGCAGAGGGAGAAGCAGAGTCCTTGCTGAGCAGGGAGCCCGATGTGGGACTCAATCCCAGGACCCTGGGAACATGATCTGAGCTGAAGGCAGATGCCTAGCCGACTGAGCCACCCGGGTGCTGCTGTAAGACTATTTTACACAAAAAACACAAAGTTAACATAAACAATAATTAGAAAAACACAACAGCAACACCAGGATGGAGTAAGAGAGTTTCACCACCAATGATACAGAGTCTGCCAGAGAATGTCAGGCAAGGGGCATGAGCATTCAGCAGGAGCCCACAAGGCTGTGTGACATCCTCAGCACAGAGCAGCTAGCTCTCCAGAGAGTAGTCCGAAAGACAGACCAATGAGGAAATCACAGTGCCTTCCACGACTGCCTCAAAAGGAACCTGCCATCACTTCCACCCCCATCTCTCGGGTAGAGCTCAGTCGGCCTGCACTGAAGGAAGGGGTTTAGGGTCCCACCTTTGAAGGGAGGAGGATCAAATTATTTATGGACATACTTTAAGTCTACCATGGATATCATCCAAAGGAACGCAGCATGATCTAACCCTAACTGAACCATGTTCAGCTAGCAGTTCACACGGTATCCAACAGACATCAAGTATTCAAGTATTGCTGTGTTTTTCTTAAAAACAAAAACACCTTGCGGATGCCGGGGTTGGGGGGGGGGGGGTCATGAGCTGCAGCAAAGTGCTCCTCCTGCTTCTCTGGGGTGCTCTCTACTGTACAGGGCAGCCTCTAGGGGGTGCTTCAGGGCACAGTTTGCCCTAGCAGACTCAACAGGAGGGAGAAGGATGCTCTCTGATATTTGGACAGGCTTGACAGAACGCAGGACACATTCCAGGAAAGCTGAAGGACTCACCACAAACAGTTATGCCAGGAAAGCATCAGACCTTTGCTGGAGAAAGCACACCAGAAACTCTATCTTCAAAGCAAGTAGTCTAATGCTGGGAGCCGCTCTTGCTAAAGTGTTATAGGGATACTATAAACAAGTCGTTTTGCCTGAAGCAAGCAGTTTTACTTCACAGAGAAGCTCTCCTTCCAGTCTGGAGATACTCTGTTGAGCTAGTAGTTAAATTCTTTCTCCTCTCAGTTGATCACTCAGTATCTTAACAAATGTATCTTTATAATTCAAATAATAAAGAAATAAAAAGCAAATTTCTATCTCTTTATCTTTGTGTTTTGAAATAATTTCAGACTTACAGAAAAGTTACAGAGTTCCCAGATACCCCTTACCCATCTTCCCTTATATTAACATCTAACTAATCACAGGACAATAATCAAAACTAGGTAATTAGGACTGACACAGAACTGTTACCTAATTATGGACCTTTACAAATCTTGCCAATTTTTCCTTGTTATGGTACAGAAACCACACTGCATTTCACTGTCTCCCTGTTCTCCTGTCTGTAATATTGGTACCTTGTCTTTCATGACCCTGACAGACTTCAGTGACACTGGCCTGTTACTTTGTGAAATGTTCCTCGATTTGGGTTTGTCTGATACTTTCTCACAATTAGACCGAGGTTATGTGCTTACTGCAAATCCTACAGAAATAACTGCACTTTTGTCAATGCATCATACCAGACACAACACAGTGTATGTACTCTTTGGAACAACGTATGGGTTAAGAAAACTCATATATTCGGACACGTTTTAAATACTTGGCATTCAATGCCTTACTGTATCCTCACCAACACATGCTAAAACCCTTACAATGACTAACACAAAGTTGTACTTATTTTGAGTTTTAAGAAATACCAATTACACAAAAACTTCAAAAGAAAATGTGGAACTCAGAAAGTCAGTCTAAGAATGTAAGTTCCATGCAAACAAGAATTTAATTCTGTTCACTGCTCTGTGTCCTAGGGCCCTGAGGTGTCCATCATCTGTGATATGGAGGGAATAATTCTGAAGAAACAAAACACCAATAAATTCATGAAATGATTTTATCAACTCCATTAGTGTGGAAAAGTTCAACCACTTAAAACATAGCTGCTGTGTTATTTATACACTTGTTTACAAGAGCTTATTCCCAATCTCCCTCAAACTGCTGGCCAGCCCTGCAGGGTCAGTGCTTCCAGGTATCACATAACCTACAGGATTGGGAGGCACTCCCAGCTGCTACAACCCAAACTGGGCGATGGCACCCACACCCCCCAGGCAATGCAGCAGGACTGCGGCTGAACACACAAGGGAATAAAGGCTAACAGGTCCACCTCTAGCACCACCTCCTTCGAACTCACCCTAGGACAAATTTCATGGATAAACTGTATGAAAAAAAGAACCACCACAGGCTGGGCTGTCAGCTAACGAGGAGGTGTCTAATCTACCCAAGACACAAAACCTTTGCTCTGCTGTAGCTCCCTCCTATGAGCCCACAGGGATCGAACCAGGCTTAGTATTTACAACAGGAAGGAGCCCAAGGACATTTAAAGGCATGAACATTACACTTTCCCACACTAAACATTTTCTAATCTCCTGATTCACAGTGATGCAGTCTTGTGCTCAGTCACTGACTTAAAGCTACTCTTCAGTGTTAGGATGTACTAAAAAAGTAAAAGCAAAATGGTAATGTTTGAATTAGGCTTTTTACACCTTAATGCAATTTTCTGTATCCTTACAAAGTTTGATCTGTTCTCCACTCTTATTCATTTTGATTGCATTCAACATAGTCTCCTCTAGTCTTTGTAAACTACCTGGTCATGTAGTTAAATTAAGATCCTATCATGCATCTTGTGAAGAATACCTCATGATCTAATGGGCTTTAAAAGTTATCCACAGGGATGCCTGGGTGGCTCAGCGGTTTAGGACTGCCTTCAGCCCAGGGTATGATCCTGGAGTCCCGGGATCGAGTTCCACATGCAGCAGCTCCATGCGAGGAGCCTGCTTCTCCTTCTGCCTATGTCTCTGCCTTCTCTCTCTCTGTGTCTCTCATGAATAAATAAATAAAATCTTTAAAAATAAAAAATAAATAAATAAACGTTATCCACAGTTCTGTTACATAGGGAGTCAAAGACATATGGCCTCAGGAAAAGCTCTGCTCAAAGATTTTCGTCGTACAGCAGCGAAGACTGTCTCCCAAACAGATGTGTAGTCACAGGTATAGGTGCCTATGTATAGACACATATGTGTATCCATGCATAGATATTGTATTTGCAATTCTGAATTATGGGTCTCAGGCTAAACCCCAGAAATGATCCTAAAGAAACAAGCGTTCACTCACAGTAAAGATGCATTAGCCATCTGTTCCACTAAACTCTTAATATAAACGCCCACTTAACCTTTGCAACACTGCTCAGATCAGCCCATGATGATCTTCTGTGCCTTAGACATAAAACAATTATAATACTGTTTGCAGAACCCTGGCCTGAAATGATCTGTTATTACCTCATTTCTGTACGGCGAGGACTTTGTTGTAATCATTTCAGTGTTCCCAGCACTGCACATAGAAAATAGTACCTTCCGAACTGGCAAACCTTTTGAAGAAAGATCTAATTCAGCAGCATTTTCACACAGCCAATCACTTCTGCCAAGTAACTTATTATCCTATTACCTGAGTATCTCTTTACCATATGTTCTAATTCTCATGACTATTAATAAGATAATTAAATTTTAAACTTGCTTTTTTAAAAAAGTAGGTAATAAATGATAATGCAATTCTAAAGTAAACTTTTGAAAATGAATTTTGTAAGTCTACTTGCTACCGCATTCACCCAAATTCTATACAACATAATGTGGCATAAAACAATTTTAAGTCATACATTAAACAGCTCAATGCACCCGCTCAAATTCTGAAGCCTAATGGTCATCCTTTAATGCTAAAGAAAGACAACTCCTCGTCTCTAGAGTAACTCTTACTTCTGAGTTCAGTTCCTGTAAATCAGGAATAGTACTTGGGCAACTATGATTAAATTTTAAACAAATGAACACCAGACTTTTTAGGTGAAGAAAAACTTTTTTCTATCCTTGCTCCCATATTTGTAATATTATATGGAAAGAGTTTCTGGACATATACTTTAAATTTATAAATTATAAGAATATTGAATATATCCAAATATTTACAATTTATTAGTCAGATATCAAACAAGTGTTTGAGTTCAACCCACCGATTCACTAATTATTTAACTAGTTTGTGGTCACCATCGACTGATACGTTTTCTACTTTCATTAAACCACTAATATTTCAAAATGACACACAGAACTTTCTGCCAAGAGTTCTTGCGCTAGCAGTTCTGAACCCTCACCAGGTCAGAGGCTCACCTGAAAGGTCCAGCTCCTCGGTGGAAGACAAAGCAGCCAGACTCCAGCTATCACTGCGGGCTGCCAGGACAAACTTGTGTGCGTGGATGTGCTGGCCTCCAACCTTTATCTTCAGATCGCTGATAAAGAAAAATGTCATAATTAGGTATGGCTAGGATTCACAAATGATGAATAGAGGGGTTGATCAACATATATCTGCAAAAGAAAAAAAATCACAGCAAACCTCTCTCTCTGTGCTAGCATTGAACTGTACTGGGCCATGTGTATAATATACATTGCTAGACATGTTTGTATTTCTACATTCAAGCTTCAGTTCACATAGGATGTTCTGCTTTTCCCTTAGTGGGATTCTTAAGGTGGTGAATCTACCAGTTAAATAGGAGGATTAATATTCATATAAAATCAAGATGAGGTTTCATGCAGAATAAATCAGGATAAATCATCAGGGAGAGAAAAACAGGAAGGGTAAACAGCAGGACACTAGCTCTGTACTGTCCTGGCGCTCAAACAAGGGTATGCGGAAAAACTAAAAATTGGCTTTGACAAAGCTGGCAAGAACATGAAACCCAATATCCAGATTCCTGATCTCAAAAGAAACATTTAGACCTATTATTGGACATATTTTACTCAACCATTTATAAGGAAATGGGGTAGGAGAAATCTTTTTTTCAAACATGTTTTAGGGGCACCTGGGTGGCTCAGTTGGTTAGGCGTCTGCCTTTGGCTCAGGTCCTGATCTCAGGGTCCTGGGATTGAGTCTTGTGTCAGGTTCTCCACTCAGTGAGGAGTTTGCTTCTCCCCTGCTTTTCCCCCACTTGTGTTCTCTCACTTTCTCTCTCTCCCTCAAGTAAATAAAAATCTTTAAAAAAAAAAAATTTCCATATTTATGACAAACTATTATGTGAAAAAAGCTTTCCAAATAGTTATTTATGTTTGACTCTGAAATGTCAAATGCTGAGGGAGGAAAGCGTCTGGACATTTAACAAAAAATTAAGGATGACCCACTGGGCTGACACAAGCATGTGCCAGATGGCTTTGTTGGCAGCAATCCAAAGTCATTAATTATCATCATTCTGTGTATTTACATGTTCTTTTATTTTCATACTCCCCTTCAAAACATGTTAGGGTGGAAACCTTTACAAGCTAAATACACAAAAGTCACTACAATAAAAGGAAAAAAAAATCTATTACATGAATTAACTCATCCACTTAAGAGAAGACCCGAGCAGAACACTGTTTCTATATAATGCTTGATACAGATGCAGTTTATCCCACAAATACACCATCCAGAATGTACTATATGATGTTGTAAGCATGTCAGCAATTCCAGCTGCAATGAAGACCAGGCTGCAACTAATCACAGTTGATCAGAAGAGCAACAGGATACTCAGTATTTCAAATTATTACCAACTAACTACTGTTAACATAGTAAAATATTATTAATCAACAAATAAAAAGAAATAATTGATATTTTATTAAAATAGAACAAATCATATCCATTGACAAAATTTCTAAAAGTCATGAAAACAAGCTGTTTATAAAGCACAAATTTTTAAAGTATGAATTTATGTATAAAGTATTAAATTCTGGTAATTTAAATGAAGACTCGTTTCCAGTTTCAGCCACTGACTGACTTCTAGCCACAAAATCATAAAAATGAATATTTCTGTATATTCATGACTGCCAGGCCAAATTGTTTTCTCTTTTGTAGTCTAACATACCAAAGGGAAATACAGACAAGGACTTTGCTAATATTTTCTAACAATAACAATTTCTATAAATGCAATTAAAAAATGGAAGACTAGGGCAGCCTGGGTGGCTCAGTGTTTTAGTGCCGCCTTCGGCCCAGGGCGTGATCCTGAAGACCTGGGATCGAGTCCCACGTCGGGCTCCCTGCATGGAGCCTGCTTCTTCCTCTGCCTCTGTCTCTGCCCACCGCCCCCTCTCTCTGTCTCTCATGAATAAATAAAATCTTTAAAAAAAAAAAAAAAAAAAGGAAGACTGGGTAAGTTTCTGAGAACACTAAGCAGAAACAAATAGGAGGCTAATAATTTTTAAAAATTTTCATTCTAGGGACACCTGGGGGGCTCAGTCAGTTGAGCATCTGCCTTCAGCTCAGGTCATGATCTCAGGGTCCTGGGATCGAGTCCCGCATTGGGCTCCCTGCTCAGTGGGGAGTCGGCTCTCCCTCTCCCTCTGCACCTCCCCCTGCTGGTTCTCTCTTTCTTTCTCTTGCTCTCTCTCTCTCTCCTCTCTCTTTCTCTCTCAAATAAATAATAATTTTTTTTTTTTAATTTTCACTCCAGTCAAAGAGCATTTCCTTGTAAAATACAGATACTAGGATATTGTTACTGGAGAGGAAGCATAAGTAAGACCTTCTTCTTGGTAGTTTCTCAAACACTTTAACAGGAAAACTGTACGCTTGATTACTGGAAGAATGATGTATTACCGTCACTTTTAACTATCATAAGGAACAAAAACCTTCTTCTGAACTTAAGTAAAAATAAAGGGACCAATTTTTTCCACATTTCTCAATTTAAAACCCTTTGAATACCTATTCTTTAATTACTCGAGTTAACGAGATGCACATATAAATAGTGGGGGTTTTTTTAAAGATTTTTTATTTACTTATTCATAGAGACAGAGAGAGAGAGAGGCAGAGACACAGGCAGAGGGAGAAGCAGGCTCCACGCAGGGGGCCTGATGTGGGACTCGATCCCGGGTCTCCAGGATCACACCCCGGGCTGAAGGCGGTGCTAAACCACTATGCCACCAGGGCTGCCCTATAAATACTGTTTAAAGTCTTCAACAGGGATCCCTGGTGGCTTAGCGGTTTGGCGCCTGCCTTTGACCCAGGGCGTGATCCTGGAGTCCCGGGATCGAGTCCTGCATTGGGCTCCTTGCAGGGAGCCTGCTTCTCCCTCTGCCTGTGTCTCTGCCCCTCTCTCTCTCTATCAAGAATAAATAAATAAAATCTTTAAAACTAAATAAATAAATAAAATAAAGTCTTCAACAACATGCATATTATGGGACAAAGGTTTGTGGATTTTTTTTTTTTTTTCTTATTCTAGTAAAAGACCATCTGCTTTAGAAACTGATCTTCCAGCTTCAGGTACTCCATCTACAAAGCCCCAGTCACCTCTGAAGCCCCATTCACCATGGGATCTCCAACCTGCATTGGGTGAGGGGACAGGCTTAAGCTTAAGCAGCTCAGCAGGTGCATGCTGAAGCCATGGGACCACACTACAGCGAGCGGGCCCAGTCCGTGGCCTCCCAGAGGGGCCACAGTATAATGGATGCACAAGGCAGAGAAGTAACAGAAAGTAAACAGTGGGAGTTCTTTTTTTTTTTAATTGGAGTTTAATTTCCCAACATATAGCATATCACCCAGTGCTCATCCCATCAAGTGCCCCCCTCAGTGCCCATCGCCCAGTCACCCCCACCCCCTGTCCACCTCCCTTTCGACCACCCCTTGCTCGTTTCCCAGAGTTAGGAGTCTCTCATGTTCTGATATTCCCTCTCTGATATTTCCCACTCATTTCCTCTCCTTTCCCCTTTATTCCCTTTCACTATTTTTTATATTCCAACAATGGGAGTTCTAAGGGAGAAGATCCTTGGAGTGCAAGCAAGGCGCCCACAACAGTGCAGGGTCAGGCTTCCCCACACCGGGGGAAACAGTTTTCACTTGTCCATGGAAAAAAGAAGAAAAAAAAAGAGACAATGAACTATATTTTACAAGTAGCTATATCTGTTCATTTTTAAAGGCTATCCTTACTCAGAGTATATATTTCCTATGTTTTTGGTATTAAATTTTTCTTTCTTTTACAAATGATTAAGTTGGAAGATGGCAGTTCTGGACGTTATCTATTTTAAATGTCCTAATTTATTGTAGAATTTTACTAAGTCTTAGCTAGTCTGATCGTCCATCTCTTCAGTAGCCAAGCTCTCCCCTCGTATGTACATTCACACCCATGTCTTCTCCACAGCCACTGCCATCATCCTGATTTGACCCTTCTTCATCTCTGGTCTAGACTATGCACAACATTCCAGCCACTCCTCCGCCCTATCCTCTGCACAGTGCTACCTACACGATGATACCAGGTTCGTCTTCCTGTAACACCACTTTGACGATGACAGTCCGACAGGTCAAAGTGCTGTCCCACAATGCCTAGAGGATCAAGTCCAAATTTCCCATCTTGGTCTCCCAATGCAAACCACCCTACCTTGCCCACCTCTTCCAGTGCCCCCCACATGGACACGTACCCCATGACAGCCCCTCCTGTCCTCTGAATCCTCTGCATGATGCTATGTCTCAGCCTAACCTCAGGCTCCCCTACTAGAACCTCATGGTCTTTATCTACTGAACCCTGCCCCATCTAGAATATTTACCTCAAAACTCACTTAGTAACAACAGCTACTATGTGCCAGACACTGATCTAAGTGATTCAAACATGTACTTATTAACTTAATCCTCACAACATAATGGTAAGCAGCAGCATCCTCATTTTATAGATTAGGAGTCTGAAGCATGTCACACAACTTCAGGTCACACAGCCATAAGTGCCCACTAGCCTCTACCACAGGCTGTGTGACTGCAGATCCTCCCCAATCACCCTGCTACCCTCCCCACTCATTCCAAGACTCTTTCCTTTATTATCCCAAGAGAAAGTGACCTTTCCCTCTGAATCCCTGGACATGTAAGCTAATTCCAGTCTACATCACTAATGCTATCACCACAAACTCTGTGCTGAAAATAAACAGGAAACTAAATCTTGCCCCAAAGGGGTTACATTCCAGGTTTGCTAAAAGTTTGCTAGTATCCTGGTTAGAGAAAAATTAACTTGGAAGGGAGTCAGTAAGAGAGGAGTGACATCCAAAGGGAATCCATCCAAAGAGTCCTGCATCCACAGGCTCACCTATACTGCTCCTGCTCATACAAGTCAGCCACGATGGTCAGCAGGCGGCTGATGAAGGACTCATTGCTGTTCTCCTTGTTTGCCTGTGCAGCCAAGAGAGTGCATCTCTTCTCCGTCTCTGCCAGTTTCTTCTGCAGCTTGACATACTCCTGTCGGAGAAGCATCAAGTGCTTCTCCAACTTGGCCACCTCCTCTGTGAGGGAAACAAAGAATCAAGTTTATTGTGGCACATGTGAAACAGACAGCATTCACCAATTCCTCACCCCATAGACAGGACCGCTAGCAAAATATCTACTTCTTAGCAATACTGACTGAGGACCCATAATGGCTTTGTTTACAGGTACCACCGCATTACTGGGCCAGAAAGACCCTATGGTTCAGGGATTTCTCTACTCAGTTTCTCTGAAGCTCAATATTCAATAAATGACAAGAAACAAAGACACTTAAGATGCTAACAGGTACCTGCCCTGCAAATCCTTTATCATCAAGCCAGGAGTCTCAAAGAAAGATTATCAAAATCACCTAGGACTTTTTTTTTTCCCCAATCACTAGTAGTGAAAATTAATTCTTATATGTCATATGTGAACTCTTTCAGGCAAGCTTCAGAACAACCCCATGTAGTTGGCACAATCACCAGCCACTCCACAGGTGAGGATGCTACAGTCCTGTGGCTGCTGAGACATGGGGCTGGGCTAAAAGCCCATACATTCTCACACCAGGGCCTGTAGTTTATTACCCACTATTCCACACCACCTGACCTCCCCTCCTTCAGGAAAGAAGCAGAGCAGTCAATAATGGTTCAGATGAAAGCAGGTCACATCCACAGGCATGCTGAGGCGGATTAAAAAGGTTGAGAACTACTATATTTGATTCTTAAACTCAACAAACATTTACTGAGCACCTACTAGGTCCCAGACACTGCACATTGGTAAGCAAATTCAGATGTATTTGTCCTCAGAGCTTTCAGTTTGCCAAGGAAACTTTTATGATTACAATAACACTGCTAACAATCAAATGCAGAAATACAACTCTAGGAGCACTAGAAGGAAAGCACAGAAGTAGAGAACCGGTAATATATTTAACTTAGGACACCAGGGAAGACTTCCCTGAGGAAGTACACGGTGAAGAAACTCCCCTTCTCCTTCTCCGTTACCTGGGATCCAAAGCCTTGATGGACTCAGGGCACGATGTTAATCAGTACCTCTACAGATCCAGGCCTCTAACCATGGAAATAGGGAGCTCAGGCCTTGGCCCCTCCCCCTTCTACCCCTCACAAGACACTGCCCTCAAGCCCATCTTGCATGCAACCTGCCTCATTCTCAGTGTCTTGAGAAAAGTGAGCTACTGCTAACAACTCTGGCCACAATTCCTCCCGCCCACCCTGTGCTCCCTCAGGGTAAGCATCTTCCACCTACGCAAGTGTGCAATCCCTCCACCTAGGCCCCAATCCCATCACTCTGCACAGGTCCTCTGCTTTAGCATCAACCACCCTTCTAGCAGCTTCAATCTCTTTCAACTGGGTTGAAAGAGCACACATAAACCTGTTCAGGACTCTAGCAAAACAAAACCCTCCTTCCACAGCACATCTGCCCACCACTACCCTTCCATACACCACCTCCTGACCCCTACTCCCCAGCCACTCCCTCCTCTGTCCCCACCATTCCCTTGAAACTCCTCAACAATGACCTAATAGCCAAATCCAACAGACACTTGCCATAGTTCTTCTCCTGGACCTACCAAGCAGCATATGACAATTTTATTCCCTTCTTTCAGCAACCACAATGCTACCCTCTTTCCAATTCCAATTCTGTCTTTCCCATGCTCCTCTGCATCCCTCTCACCGCTGACCACTGATACTCTCCAGGGTTATACCCCTGGCCCTCTTCTCAACTGTATGTCTTCCCAAGGCAGCTCCACCAGGTCAGGTTCTGCAGCTGATGCCACGATCTAAGTGCTAATGATCCACGGACCCATTTCTGTAGTCCAGACTTCTTTTCTTATGCCCATCTATCTGCCTAAAAGACACTGTTGTCCAGTGGCCCACAGGCACCTCAAGTTCACTACGCCCAGGACAGAACTTTAGGCAAATTTGCTCCACCTTTGTATGGTCCCTATACTAATAAATGACACCACTGTCCACCCCAGTTATGTAAAGGGGCAATGTGGGAGTAATCTTAAAATATCTCCCTCTCACTCGCATGGCCCCAACCCTACAGAAATCAACTTTCCCACTTAAACATCTCTGGGAATCCTTCCTGTCTGCTGTATCCCCATCTCCACTATGACTTAATTCAGGCCCTCAGTCATTGTATCTGATCCCCAATGTGAAAGGATTCACATCTACATCTCAGAGCCTACCACAGGGCCTGACACACAAAGGTTCACTAAATATGTGTACAATCCAGTTTCATAAAAGAGGTTTCCTTTCCCCTCCTCATCTTCATCCCTCCCCTACCTGAAACCCAATTGCTGTTCTTTATAAATATGCAAACAATCAAAAATTGGTTCAAAACCACAAGAATTATTAAATAAACTAAGTGTGGTACTTGATTGTGAAGTTATGCAACAAATGATTTCAAAGAAATATGTAACACTATACATGCATATTCAAAGATAAATATTAACAGAAAAAAGCAGGCACTGAAACTATACTTTATAATTCCAATTTTATTATAAATATTCACATGTCTGAGAAATAAAAAAGACAAATCAGACAAAATATTAGCAGGTCTCATGGGGGAAGTATTACTGCACTTCTCTGCACATTTCAGGTACTCTAAACAAATGTGTTCTGCTTTCATAATTAGAAAGCAGTATTTTTTCAGACAGGAAAAAAGAAAAGATTTAAGAGAAATACTAATAGACTGTTTTGGGTTTTTTAAGTTTGTTTATTTATTTATTCATTTATTCATTTATGTATTTGAAAGGGAGAAAAAGCATGAGTGGGGGGCAAGGGGCAGAGGGAGAAGCAGACTCCCCATTGAGCAGGGAGCCCGATGTGGGGCTCGATTCCAGGACCCTGAGATCATGACCTGAGCCGAAGGTAGGCACCGAACTGACTGAGCCACCCAGGTGCCCCGATATTTAAATTTAAATCTATGTGCACTTTTAAAGCAAATATATTGTTTTATACACATTTTAAAGATTATGGAAAACAAAGACAAATAATTTTCTAATACCCAAGTAGAAGGGTTTTCAGAGGTCACAAAACTTTCTCAAGGGAGGAACTTAGGACCACATTTTTTAGTTCAACTCCCAGATGATGCCAACCCCGTGACCACCCTTGGCCTCTCAGGCTCTGGAGGATGATGTTACCCCCAGGCTGTGCTGCCTAAGAATCACTCAGGCTGTTGAGGAGATCTGGGGTGGGGCTGGGGAAAGTGTACTTTTAAAACAGCTCCCCTGGGGGGGTGGGGGGGCACCTGGGTGGCTCAGCAGTTGAACGTCTGCCTTTGGCTCAGGGAGTGGTCCCGGGGTCCTGGGATCAAGTCCCACATTGGGCTCCCTGCAGGGACCCTGCTTCTCCCTCTGCCAGTGTCTCTGCCTCTCTGTCTCTCATGAATAAATAAATCAAATGTTTTAAAAAATAAAAACGGCTGACAGCCCTGGAGGAAGAGTTCAGCACCCAGCACACACCTCCCCAAATCACGAGCAGGGAGATGGCTCTGGGAACTTATGTGAAGACAGAAGACCCACTGAATTGCATTTTTGGTTCATTCGCTGATTTGTTGGAAGATTTCCACTCTGAAGAAGACAAGTGCATAATCCAGTCACATTCATTAAGAATGTAGAGCCAATGCCAAAGATGACCATCACGGCACACGGGTTTGTTTATAAAGCTACAGGGGAATGGAAAAGACAGCACTCTGCCGGGGATACAACCAGACCCTGAAGCCACGTGGCTTACACGAGAACAAGGGAAAACGTCCCAAGAGAGGGGTGTTTTACTTCAAATGATTTAAATAAAGCCTGGTAAGAATCTGTAGCATACTGAGTCCAGAAAATATAAGTAACAGGCTTCAGTCTTTTACTTTCTTGGTCAGATTCTCCCTTTAAACTAGTATCAGTCAACAGGTCTGTAGAAAACATAGTACTCAGAATATGAGAAATACAAATAATTAGCAGGCAAGGCCCAGCCTCATTATCAAGAGCTCACTGACAAACACGCCTGCCACTCCTGCCTCTGCCTAAGCCAAATGAAAAGGATGGCCAGAGGACACCTCAACTTGCTAGTTCTATCTGCTGGTTATACTTACATCCCACTTGCCTGAGAGACAGGGCCAGCCTGCAGCTACAGACCGCTGATGCTTCTTCCACAAAGCAAACTGAACCCTTTCTCCTCAGTTCCCATCACACCACATTCTAGCCAACCTAAGTATTATGCTCCTCAAGAGCTCCAACCCACAACTGTGCATTTCCATTTCACTTAAACTATGCATCTTCAAGTATTTATGAAGCACCTACCATGGAATAAGCATTACAGATTAGGAATTGCCTCTTGGAGAGGTTTTTAAAAAGATGGTCTAGCTCGCAACTCTTGCAAACACTGGCACCAATGTAGTACCTACAAGGCGCTCACAAACAAGAAGGGTGAAACAAAACTAACGGGCACAAGGTATCTGGATACTGAGTTATGAAGACATTTGCCTTGGAGAATAGAAAGTCACTGATTCTTTTAACCCTTAAAATTAGGAGGGCATAAAAGTTGTTTCAAGGAATCCCTGTAAATGTCTTTGGCTATCAGTCTATGGCTATCAGTCTATGGCTATCACATAATTCCAAAATCTACAGCAATAGCCCTAATCTCTCTCCAGAATTGCTGACACAAAATTCTAGCTGCCTGGACCTATAAAGATTATCATCAGAGAAGAGGCAAGATAAAAGAAGGCTTCAGGGTGACTTAGGGCTCTTATCACAAAATCACAGATGCTGCCCAGCATCCTTGCTGAACAGTGATACCACCATCATCACACCATTTCTTATATCATGGAGAAAGCAAGTCTGCTTGCAAACAACAAAAGAGTGTCCTTGAAGTGCGATCAAGCTATTAAGAGTTTATATAGGAAAAAAGCATACAGTTACCATTCTGAGCAGTAGCGGAGAGAGGACCTACAGCACAGGGCAGGGAGAAAGGCACAGACTCTGGACCAAGACTAAGTGGGATCAGACCCTGGCCCCACACTTTCTATTGGG